TCTAATTCTCGTTGTCAGTGCAGGCTTGTTTGGCTTAATATTGACCGTTACGAAAAGTGACTAGTGCAGCCTGCATAAAAAAAGCCATGAACATAAAAGAACAGGACAAAAATATAGTTGATGACTAGACATTATCATTTCATGACTCTAGACACTTATTTGTGGAGATAGTAGCATAATGCAGTGAAATAATATGTTCTTTAGCCATTCAAAAACAGCTGGCATGCGCTAAAATTTACCCGCTGGCGCTTTTAGGTATACAGCGACCCCTGGCGGTTCTAGTGTTAAAAATGCAGCTGTGTGTCATCAGCATAGCGATGGTAGGAGAAACCATGTGCCTGTATGATGTGACCCAGTGATGTTGTGTATATGGAGAAGAAGAGGGGTCCAAGAACTGATCCCTGAGGAACTCCAGTAAGCAGTTGATGTGATTTGGATACCTCCCCTGCCCAGGTCACCTTGAAAGACCTACCTGTGAGATAGGATTCAAACCAGCGAAGTGGAATCCCTGTGATGCCCAGTGATGAAAGGGTGGACAGGAGGATTTGAGGATTCACAGTTTCAAAAGCGGCAGATAGATCCAGCAGAATGAGAACTGATGATTTGGAATCAGCTTTTGCAATCTGTAAGGCTTCAGTGACTGAGAGTAGTGCAGTCTCAGTTGAATGTCCACTTCTGAAACCTGATTGAAACCTATTCAGAGTTATGCCCCCTATACCATATTCCTTTCGGAGACTTAACAAATCACTTTTGAAGAGTTTTTAAAGAGTAAAGTTGTCTTGTTCACATTTTATGTAATTTACTTTTAATTATTTTTTTACAAGTTTGGTTTTACCAATCATCAATCATGATTACCACAATTGTGCTCCCTTCAAAGTGCACTCCAAAAACATTTAGGCTACGCCATTTTGAATGCAACCATGGTTTGTGAAGAAATGTCAGTTTTATCATTTAAAAGCGAAAATCTTTGTTACAGCATTTCCAAAGAGAGATTAGTCATATAACAATATTTCTGAAACACAACATATGTTAAATTTATCTATACTTTATGTATATGCAACATATCCTATGTCCTATCTCACGTCAAAAAGTGCTATGCTTTTGTAAAAGTAATTCATTCACATTTTTAAAAATATAAAAATATTATTTGTACAATTACATTTCTGAAATCAAATATAATTGTAATAGGCAATATACCCAAATAAATGAAAAAATCACCTGGCAATTTGAAAAACTGGTCAACACAAAATGTCATGTGTGCTTCCAGGCCATTTTGCCACGATATCAATGGTGATCACACACTTGTACATTAAAGGGATAGTTCACCCAAAAATTTAATTTAGCCCATGATTTACTCACCCTCAAGCCATACTAGGTGTATATGACTTTCTTCTTTCAGAGGAATCCAATCTGAGTCATATTAAAAAATGTACAGGCTCTTCCCAGCTTTATAATGGCATGGGTGGGTGTTTTCCTTCAACAATCCAAAAGTAGTCCAATCTCTAACTTCCGCTAACTGTCGTATGCACAAGCAGTCCCATGCGGATGATGTAGGACATATGCGTAGCTTTAGCTCCTCACGAGAAACAATGTTTGTTTACAGGAGCAAAATGAAGCAAAGTTTCCTTACTTTCCTAAACCAAAAAACCTCTGATATTTTTCTTTACAAATCCTAATTTTGTACTTCTAATTTGTGACCTTTTTTTGGTTTTGCTGTATCCTCCATGCTTCTGCGTTCATCACTTCTCACTGGTGCATGCGCTACGCCTACATCATCCACCTGGAACGGCTTCCATGTTGGACAGTTATTGGAATGACAGAAAAGTGTTTACAACATTTTAAATATTTTTAGATATTTTTCTTACAAAAATGCATTGATTCGCTACAGGAGGCCTTTATTCACCCCCTAAAGCCACGAGGTACGTTTTATAAAAGGTGTATGCAGTCATGGTTTAGCAAAGCTGTGATTTAAGTTAAACAGTCTAGGAAAGGTTTATTGTTTGTTTTTGATTGTCAGATATTAGACAGATGAGCCTGGCCTCATGAAAATGTGTATAAACAGTACGCCAAATAAAAACAAAAACTCATGGTATTGATACGCAAAAATTTACTTTGGCGTGCATATGATACGCACGTGTTTGGCGTGCATATAATACGCAGTTTTCGTGAGCATATGATGCAAAATTTGTTGGCGTGCATATGATACGCATCTACCCCACCACAACCCTATTCCTATATTGCGTAGCAATACACGCCAAAGTACATTTTTGCATATCAATACCACAAGTTTTTGTTTTATTTTGGTGTACTATTTATACGCACTTTCATGAGATCTTGTTCAAATTCCAATTGCAATGGCAAAATCCAGAAATGTCAACAATTTAATCCAGATTTTATAAAAAAAAGATATATACTGTATATTTGAGTTTCAGCTTTCTGTCCACACTGAGACAGCGTTTTTGTCTAAGGAAAACGGTACATTTTGAAGACACTGTCTCAAGAGAATACATTTGAAAACACAGTTTTCATGTTGCAGCTTGGACTGTGAAAATAATTATTTGATGATGAATGTTTAGTCATATGAAGCATACAGACTAGTCTCGTGTAGCCAGACCTTCTGTGCTCCTCTCTGTTCCTCCTAAAGGAACAGAGGAAATAGGAATAAAGGAATAAATAAAGAAATAATGGAAATAACCATTACATCATGGTCATAAGACATGTTGTTCTGATTGGATAGCGTCCATATCCCTGTTCCTCCAGTAATGCTGAGCTGATCGTCTCACTTCAGGCCTATATCGTATATAAAATGTACCTCTAGACCTCTTTGTACCTTGAGTGAACTGCACTACTTGTGTCTGTGTCATTCTTTGTCCTGGGTACCTGCTTTTCTGTGCTACATCGCTCAACCAGATCAGATCTTCTCAAAATACTTGATCTCAAATTATTTATTCTAACACTGCTGGGGGTTGTTTTAGTTCGACCAGCAGAGGGTACTCATTCCCTGACTTGTATGTGTCCTAAAGTCCTAGTATAATGATGCAGATTTTGATGTAGAGTTAAACCAGCCCCTGTAAAAAGGAGCGTCAATTTGTGTTGAAAAAAAAAACGTCAAGAATACACGAGCAATTTCAAAATTGGAGAAGGACATGTGAATTAACAGCAATACGAGAACATCAGCTAGTGCGTATCAAAGTGAAACCGAAAGTAAAAATAAACGCACTTACCGCACATTAGAAATAAAAACAGAACGATGTTTAATGTTCCCTTCCTATTGCTCTAAATTCCATCAAAATCAGATTTCGATGCATAATATTACTGAAACATCACACCCACCCGACTGACCGCAACATTTAACACAATTAACTGAAGACAGACGGAAAGCTTTATATACCAATAGAGAGAGACTAACTTATGAATTTACATGACGACTGACGCTATAAAGAAGCAGAAAGTTTATGCTTTCAAAATAGGAAAGCCTGAATGGAAATGCTCAAGAAATTCTGATGGCGGCGGCAACAGGATCTTCTTAACACCGGATCGCAAACTATAAAGCATTACTTAACTTACGTTGAATTGAAAAAACAAAAAACAACAACTAATAATTCACATAACTATTTTATAACTAGACAAAGGATATTATAATAACAAAACAAAAAAAAAACTCTTTAATTCTGGATTTTGACATTTTTTCCATACCAAAAATTAATTAAACTAAACATTAAGCATGGCTTTCAGCAAACAGATCACCATTTATTTGAGATAAAATATAACAATGCAGAAAATAAATGCTATTTATAAGTATTTAATTGGAATAACTGTGCTTATAAAATTACAGGTCCCACACAGAGAGTAAATCATTGGAGATATTAAATGTATTTTTATCACGTAATATTATACAAAAACACATGCAATGGAAAATTACTTCTTCACAATATTGTACCAATACATTAGTCTACATTCTCTTATTTTACTATTTTATAAGGCAACACAGCACACTACATAAGATAAAACAGTAACAGTATGTATATAAACAGTACATATTATATATGAGTAGATAAAAATGTAAAAATGTTCTTTACACTAAGAAAAAATTATTCTTTAAAAAACTTTTCACGGATAAATTCTTTGGGCGATTAAAAATTGCACTTCTATGGCATCACTGCGAAACCTGATCCTTGTAATGAAAAAAAAACACTCATTGTCTCGCAGTCTAATGTACAAGATAAAACACTTAGTGTTCAACTTAGTGTTTGGAGTGTCATATTGTTCAGTGTTCAAATGTATCTAGGTTTGTTATCACAGCTTTCCCAATGCTGATGTATGGTAATTGTAGCACCACAGGTCATTTAAAGGTGTCACACTTCCTGCTTCTCTATAGACAACAATACAAATGCACTTCCAGCATGTGGACAGTATGTGGTTAATTTTGAGGCGTGTGTCTCTCTGCTATTGAGTAGTTCTTCATAAGTTCTTCTGTAGTTTTATAAAGTATAATAAAGTTAAAGTAATCGGGATGATCTGTATCCAGTTGTAAAAGTCATAAACATGTTTCCCTCTTCATCTAAAACCAAACAAGGGTTTACATGAGTTTAACAGCTCAACAACACACTGGTTCAAACATGCTGTTGTGATGATGTCACAGTGATTGACGCTGGTGGGCGTGTCTTATTTCATCACTCATTCACTTCATGCACATCTTCTCTATTCAACAGTGACATCTCAACAGTCTCTGGTTCATTCACTTGTTTTCCTGTGGAATCTGAAAGAAAATATAAAGTCAATCAAATGAACTAAAAAGAAAGAAAGAGTTTTGCTGCATTTACATCTATATGTATTATTTTAATTGAAAAAAAATTGAATTAACAGCTGAAAAAAAAGGTAAAAACAGACAAGCCGAACATATTCTTGGAACACTGCTAACCAATCAGATTAAAGAATGGAACTGTTGCGTAAATAAAAACAGTATATTGTTTTTTTATAATAAATGATGTTCTACTCACCAGTGACAGTCACGTCAAATCTCCTGAATGTGGTCTGTTCGCTGTTGATGATTTGTAGTTTATAAACTCCAGAGTCTGTGGTTCTGGTGTTTCTAATGGTCAGAGATCCAGTCTGATGATCCAGCTTCAGTCTGTCTCTGAAATTCTCACTAATAGTAGTTGTTCCTGAATCAACTTTAACAACGAGACAATTTTTAGCTCCAAATGTCCACAGTATCAGATCTTCGCTTTGTATTTCAGTGTCAATATTTAAAGTCACAAATTCTCCAGACTTCACGGGCTCTGTCCTCACTGTATGTCAAAGCAACACAGAGAAACAGAAATACAGAAGACAAAAAAATGTGAATTAATTTAGATTTTCAATATCACATATATGCGTACATTTAGATGACATTTCAATCTAGTTTGGAATGTTTGTACTAAGGCTGGTAATTTAACGCGGTAATTAGATTAATTAATTACGGTGAAAAATAACGCGTTAAAATTAGTACGAGTGCAAATGTGATACTGATCTAAATTTTGCCAACGAAAATATAAAGACAAAGCAGAACTGTTCTTCTCCGAGCAACACGCAGCTGCATTTCATTTCTTAATCCACGTTTTGAACGAATTTGGTGAATCATTAGGCGCATTGCATTTGAAGCGGCGCTGCACAGATCGATCGGTGTATGACATCAAAGTCCCGCGAGAGCGATTCAAAAGAATGCAGAATCGTGTGCTCTCTAATCGCTCTCGCGGTACTTTGATGTCATACACCATCGATCTGATGGTGATGATCGGCTTCAAGTCGAACAAGCCTAATAATTCAAGGGACCATTCATAAAGAGAACCATTTACTACACTCCTGAATGAATCAGCCATTTGAAGGAATCAAATTAATGAATACATGACTTGATGACTTAATTATTAAAGAGATACTCCACCCCAAAATGAAAATTTTTGTCATGTCGTTCCAAACCCGTAAAAGTTTAATTCGTCTTCGGAACACAATTTAAGATATTTTGGATGAAAACCGGGAGGCTTGGCTGCACGGATGCGCTGTTTTCATTCAAATCAAAGTGTAAATACACGTAGAAAACATATCCTTGTGTCGCGGCTGACACGGCTGACACAGAATAGAGTACGCAGTTTGCCTTCAGCTCATATTCTCCAAAATGGCGCTAGGTGATGTGGAGAGACAGAGACGACAAATTGTTGAATAAAGTCGTTATTTTTGTTTTCATTATTCAAAAAGTATTCTTGTCGCTTCATAACGTTACGGTTGAACCACTGATGGCAGATGGACTATTCTGACGATGTCTGTCATACTTTTCTGGACCTTGACAGTGTAATTTACTTGGCAGTCAATGGGACAGCCACAAGCCTCCCGGTTTTCATCCAAAATATCTTAAATTATGTTCCATTGACGAACGAAGCTTTTACGGGTTTGGAACGACATGGGGTAAGTGATTAATGACAAAAAATGTCATTTTAGGGTGGAGTAACCCTTTAAGACATTTACCACCACCTACTGGCAGTTTTAGTTTATTTAGAGAATCATTTAATTAATGAAATAATTTCATATTTCTAGTAATAATAATAATAATAATAATAATTATTATTATTATTATTATTATAATAAATTATTAAAAGTATAGTTCACCCACCCAAAAATGAAAATGTTGTCATCATTTACTCACCCTCAAGCTCCAATTTTTTTTTATGTTGAATTAAACAAAATATTGCTTTCTGAAGCTACTTTTTGTAATGTCTGTTTGATGCTTTACACAACCACGTCTTTAAATTATCTTTTGGGAGTAATTTATCAGCCAGATTTGATGTGCGATTAATTTGAGATTAATTAGATTAATTAATTGCCGCATCATGTAATTAGATTAAAAATTGTAATCGCTTACCAGCCCTAGTTTGTACATAACTTCCTTTCCATGTTGTATTATGAGACTTAATGAGACAAAGACATTCAGTTAGCCATTAATTAATCTCATCTATCTAGGAAGATATTACCATAATTTATAATCACAAATCATAAAGTAAAACTGGGATAGGCTGTAGTATTTGACATGATGGATTTCTGTCCCAAAAAAATCTGCATTTCAAACCACAAACTATTTTGAATATGATTCACCAGCATGCATTTTCTTGTAATTGTAATGATTTTTCCCCCTTCGAAAAAAAAAAGAAAGTGTTGAAAACTTATAGAGGTTTGTCTTTATTGAAAAACAAATGTACTAAACTAAAGCAATAAGCCCTGTGAAGCCGTGGTTTACAGTGAATTTATAACAGTTAAGGGGCGTGGTTAGGCACGACGCGGAGCGGAGTATCAGTATAAAACAGTTATTCCATATATAGTGCCTAAAACCCACTTCGCGCTTAACAACGCCCCTTAACTGTTATAAATTCACTG